TTAATTTAAGTTGAATAAGGACCTAATTATGTCAAACAAAGCATTAAAAAAATTGATGATTTAACTTAGAGAGTGGACCACTTCGGCGCTTCCCCATGATTTTCATTTAGATTTTACCCCCACAAGATAAGCTTCGGTTGATTCAGCGAAATTATTAATTTTGGAACTATTAAGGTCTTGTCCTTGTACGGGTGTCAATCAGAAAAATAAAGTTTTTGGTTGTTATTCAAATGTTTGCCTCTTTAGTTACGTCACTCGTTATGTTTGCTTTGTTTTCCAAGCTTTTACAACCATATGTTATTTGTACTTTTGTTCTTTCTTTTTTTCTATTTTCATTTATTAAAGAAAACATAATCAAAGAAAGCAAAGCCCAAGCCTAAATATTGTGACAAAAACAAAAATTGAATACAATATCTACCCAAGTGGATACATGGCTTTGACTTCAAAGGTCCGAGTTGCTCTTTTTTGACTCGAGCCTCCAGCAATTGTGAATGAGGAAAAATATTTAACTAATGATGAACAATATACTTTAATTGTTTAGCAAAACAAAAAACAATATACTTTAATTCCCACAACTTCTATAGCTTACATAACTAAAACCGACCAACCTTTTTATTTTTTTCATCTGTTTATAATATTAGAAAATTTGATATGAAGTACAAATGAAGAGATTATTGCCGGCATTCAACAAGTAAAATGTCGGAACCATAATCCCACCACAGAGGAGCCACAATCCCGCCACATGGAGACAAAGCTAAAAGAGAACACTATACAACCGCAAACCAAACTGGTTCGGAAAGAAGAACAAGCTATAGTTAAGCTAAATAACAAAACCTACTACATAAAGCTTTAACCGTAGAACAAATGATGCAAGGGAAGTGATAAGTAGGCAAACTCCAGAGCCTTATTAAACTTGAAGGCATAAAAACGGATCTTGTCCCATTCTAATGCTCGTGCCCCAAACAAACTGTGATTAGGGTGAACCAAAGGCTTTCAGAACCCGAACAAAACCTTCCAAAAGATCCCGATTAATCGAATATGATATTCTTTTATAACCGGAAATCGATGGCCTAGAGAGTAGCGATGAACCGCCACAAAACAAAGTTCCGGTCAAGGGCTTGAAACAAAGGCAAATTACCAGTCAAACAAAGATCAGGAGTAGCAAGGATATAAAGCAAAAGTCAACAACCCAACTCATACCAAGCCAGTCCGATACAAACGGTCTGAGACCCAACCTGACCAACTTTTATACTAAGATCAGAGAAGAGGAATACTAGAGAGAAGATGCACAACGCTGAAAACAGAGAGACCAAACCCCAAAGACCTTGGCCTCTGGACCTCCGCACAATACCCAACGAGATGGGAAAGCTCTAGCTAGAAACCAAAGCCGGGAGAAGAGGAGAGATTTCTGAACCAACAACCCAACCCTCACGAGCCGACGACCACAGATCCTCGCGAACCGACGCCCTCATCACACTTCAGCTTCCGAAGAAACCCAAATCTCCAAACTTCTCCAAAACCAGATCTCTAGATCCAGATCTATAACCTGCGATTTACCGAACCCG